TTTCATACTCGACAAGTCTTTGTTTTCTGCATTCACCCACACACAATTCAGATCATTATTACAACTTTCATCAGACAATAAGCCTCGTTGGGGTAATTTCTTGTGGCGATAGTTTCCCTTAATGCATTCAATCGATGTTTTCAGCGATCAACCAGTAATCAGACATTACACTGTGACAGTGTCAGTCTGATTCGACAAGATGTCAGTGATCGAATGTGAATGTCATATCAACCCATCCAACACCCCTCTCCCATCCCATATACGCCGCACATCTCGTCTTCACCACCATCTCATTCACAAACCTTCTGTTTCGAGAATCCAGGATCAATCACGAAGACGACGCCGTCGATAGTTAGCGACGTCTCGGCAATATTCGTTGAGACGACACATTTTCGACCTGCAATTTGTGCCAGGCGCCGTCAATAGGTGTTGCTCGTTGCTTTATGCTTAGCAAGGAGAAATGAATTGATAGAATGCGTTTGTGCACCTACCAATCGCACCGTTCGGTCGTTTCGGTGGAGCGCTCTCGAAGATTCGTTGCTGAAGATTCGGTGGTAATGTCGAATACAACGGAATACATTTCAGTTCACCTATTTCTGCACCCAAATTATCGATTTCACGCTTGATACGCTTACATGCTTCTTCGATTTCCTGAAAGATTACAGAAGGATCATCTGGTGATTGTCACCCATCTTTCAATTGCAATAAAACCAGTAACGTTTTTTTAAATAGTAAAAGCAATTAAAATACCAATTAATAATTGCCACAAAAAATACCTCTTGACCCGTTAAAAATAGGAGAATATCGCCCTCAACCTCTTCACAGACATGAATTTGTATCACAGTGCGAATTGCTGCTTCCAAGTAATCCTTCTCTGGCTCAGGTGTATACTAAAAACTTTTACGAAATCATCATTTCACCACAAACCATCTCATAAACTTTTCAATTATCATAAAAAAGATAACAAATCGCAACAGGCTACCGTAAGAGTGGAGAAAGTGAAAAAATTTCAAAACAATGAGATACAATACTTTGGAACGAAACGAGAATGCAAAACTTTGTATCCGAAGGGATTCTGGTAGATGAAAAAAAAGGAACGACTTACGAAAATTTCGACCGGGAACGTGCGACCAGGTACGGACATCAGAGGACAATTCTCAAAGTAGGTTTGAAATTTTCCTGAATCCAAAGTGGCACTCATAACAACTATTTTTATATCTTTCCGTTGCTTCACAATTTCCTGTAATATGGATGAAATTATAAAATCAAAAAAAAAAGAAGAGTAACCAATTAATAATCAAAGAGCCGTCAATTTCTTACAAATGAACGCCCGCAGAATGTTTCTCGTAAGTAAACGAACGATTATAATAGGCATATAGATAAAAATAAATCACACGTATTATACTTCTTAGATTCAATAATTAAACTACTGAATCAAATTGCCATCACCGCCCAAACCTCGATTCATCATCATTCCTCATTATCAATTCAAAGTTAACACAAAAAGTCCAAGTATCATTAGGGAAACTTCGAGGACAGATCCATTAAAGAAGCAACTGAATCGAAGGTGAAAGATGACCTTGATTAAACCCATAAGGATATCCGTGGCTAACGTCCGTTCGTGTGCCTCGTCCAGCATAATCACACCGTAATTATCGAGCAGCGGACTATTCATCGCCTCCCTCAACAACATACCATCTGTGCAATACTTCAACAATGTTCTCTCACTAACGCAATCCTCAAATCGGATCGAATATCCCACTTCGGCGCCCAGCTGAAATAATCCTCATTTCTGGCAAATACTTATTTATTTATTCAATGCTATCATCAATCCTCGGCAGTATTTATTCAATTAACACTCATATGAAGAGAATACTCATTGCGGCAATATCGTTCTGAATGAATGTTGACTGCAACTACTGCATAAAAACAAACCTGAACATCCATTTCTTCAGCAACTCGAGTCGCGACACTCATCGCAGCAACTCGACGTGGTTGAGTACATGCGACAAGTCGCCGTTGACCGGGTATACTTCTCGCTTTGCAATATTCTAAACACCACTGTGGAATCTGGGTCGTCTTGCCTGAGCCCGTTTCACCGACTAGCGTTAGACACTAAACTCTCATGTTTATTACAAAGTATTGTAATTTCGGGTTTGTGAAGTGTAATTGTGTTTATTCGTCCACAATTAGTGACCTCGAATCTTATTCATTCAACTGTTCTTCAGTAATGCACACAAACAAATTCTTCAGAATCGGAAGGAATATAAAACAACTTGATCGAAATTTTTTCAAAAAAGACCTGATTGTTGTGCAGAACCTCCATGAATTTGTCTTTATATTCCCATACGGGCAAAGCGGATCGCTTTTTGAGGATTTCATAGTATCGCGGCGAATACGGTCGATTGTTGAACGGATTCACTGCCACCTAATAGAAAAATTCAAATGAATACCAAAACATTCAGCAGTAATCACATACATAGTGCACATTCCATGCTCGTTCCTGATATAAGTACTCCTGAACAGTCGAAAGATCAAAGTCAAGAAAACGAACCGTTGGTTTCGGTGGTGGAATAACGGTTGTTGTTCGTGAAGGTACTGATTCATTGCGATTTCCTTCGGCACTGCAACTGCGCTCACTGCAAAATTGTGTTTCGCTAATAATAAGTGGAACCGATGAAGAACAGCTTTCATTAAATCAACTTATGACTAAACGCAATTCAGCAGAAAATACAGAACGATGCAAGCGTTTTCACTGAATATTTGCTATGTAACAGACGAAATTGCAGTAATGCTTAGATTTGGAGTACGGCCACAAAAGGAATCATAAAGAGGATATTTTTGAAGAGATTCAAAATGAATGGTGCTTTTGCATAATTCAGAAAACAAGATTGAAGAAAGCGCAACAATGTGTTCACCGTTTTTTACGATCTGGGCTGCGACTGGAGGGTGACCTCGAGCTGGAACGAGAGCGAGACGAACTGCGGGACCGAGAACGTGACCTACAATCATAAAACGCATAAGGTTTCCTTATAACCCATACCCAACAATTCAGAATTGAACAATGACTATACTAAAAGACTCTCACTGTACAATAGCAACTGGAAACTCATGAAAATTTTACTTGGGCATTAAGTGAGCTGACAGCAAAATAGATGAGAGTAAAAGGAAGTTGATTGAAAAAAACGATATTCACTGTCTGCTTGAAGTCAAGAATCAGTGGCAATAGAACAAGCACTTTCAACATGAGATTAATCCAAATTAGAAAGAAAATATTCACCTCTTTCTACGTTCACGATCTCGTTTCCTATCAGATTTATCGTCATTATCATCACCTATATCAATTCTATGACGAGAAGGCATCGTTTCCGAACAACCAAAGTTTGGTGAAGAATCACTAAAACAACAGTGGAATCAGTTTGTTTCGACGATTATAAAATAACGAGCAATCCGTGAACTTGAGCATACAATGAGATCTGCAAATTACATTTCACTCACTCGATCAATAAATTCAACAAAACTTTAAGAATTTGAATATTGCGTGATTTTAAAATTTATAAATTATCAAACAATGTTCACAAACAGAAACAAGTGTCTTGAAAAGTGTCTCACACAAACTCCTTATGCGAATAATTTAACAAAGGGTAGATTACCCTTCGTTTAGGGTCAGAAAACAACTGAAAGGTAGGCGGGAGAACCCTGCTTCTCTTCCAAACATGCAACGCGATGAATGAATTCATCGGAAAAGTTCAAAATAAGGTTACATCCACACAATCGCTGAAGATCCGCTTTCCGACTGCCAAAGTTAGCGGATATCTCATCCGGAATGGAAATCCATTCAAATGGGGAAAAAATCATCATGCTCGAAGATCATAACGTTTATTTCGCGATTCTAAATTTCACAAAGTTCATAAAGTAAATTATTAGAACATTACGGAGTATTTTTGCGAATGTAATACGAACATCGTTAAGGAAATCGAGTTAGGAGACCATTTGNTTTGATGTTATAAGACTAGGTGGAATGTGATAGCAGCTGGATTTCCAGATGTCGACGATTTTCTCTGGCGTTCATCTTACTCAAATCTGTGGCTTGATCGTAGACGAGAAACGGCCATCTCTCAGATGTTACGAGATATAAAATCGTATCAACTGACCTGACGGAATTCCTCGAATCTCTGTGATTTTTCTCTCTCAATAAAGAATGAAGTATGAATTGTTCTGTTGGACCATCTTCAGTCCAGAGTATCTCTTGCGTTTCGAGTGGAAATTGTAGTCAAGAAATTCACTTCAGGACGGAAGGAATGGAAGATTGAAATGTAAGCAAAGAATGATGAAGCATTTCTACACGGAAGCGATTTCGATCGAAGATTACCTTCACAGTCAAGTTACACGTGAACAGGAGTTTATGAATACGAATTTTATTTGCCATATACAATGAGAATGAATTGATTGCTTATTATACATGGATTTATATGTTTAAGTTTATCATTAAGGAATGATTAGTTCAACGCGGTGAGAATGTGTGGAATCGGTGCTGGAATGAAACTTGTTCCTGAGACAACATTGATCAGCCCGGCGGTGGTGGTTGAAGTTGTTGTTGTTGAGATGCCCTCCTACAATTTCAGTTCTGTACACGATTACATTGAATTCATAGTACCGCAGTCAACGCGATCCAAAAGAAATATGAGTTTCATCAAATCATTAAGGAAGTTTGTATTACTATCAGCTGTATTCATGAATGAAAATGATAACGAAACGATAATATTACGAACAAAACAATGCGACATTCATAACACTAGAATTAGTAGCCATACCAATATCGGTATCAATCTTACTAACAAAAAACAATAATTAAAGCACCAGCAATAATTAAAACAACAAACTCACTCTGCGTCTAATCGCATTTTCTCGGCATTGAATACTTCACTCGGATCGTATTGTGTTATCACTGAATTATCGCAAACGACCGCTTTTGGTGTATAACCAGTTTCGAAACTTGTTCTTGTGTAGATTCGTTGGAAACACGCTTTTCCTGCAATTTCAATTTCTGCTAATTAATACTTCCGTACAACTGTTGACATTTTGCATTCACTTCATCTGCGTGCAATAGAAGCAGTGAGTATGAAATATTTGCAGTGACTCAACACCACTACTGTGATGTCAAAAATTTTTTAATAACATAATTCAGTCGACGTTTCGATGCTTACCCCTATCATCATGACCAGAGATGGTTGAAGATGAAATCACAAGCTTAGGGTCCCCAAGTTCGAGGTCTCCGATTCTCGGAGTTCTCGGACCA